TAAACACCCATATCAATATCACCTCTAATATGTGTGAAATATGACCAAAAAGAAGAAAGAAATCAGTATCCTGAACTGAATAAGCTGAGAGTCTAAATTCTGCCATTCTGTGACTGAGAGAGGGGTATATAAAAGTCTTGAGAGAAGGGAAAAACTAAGAGTTACACATGTTGAAACTGGAGGAGTGAAGCAATGAAATATAATAGTTGGATATTTGTGCGAGCTTGTTTCTTCATTTGTTTTAATATAATTTTATTAAAGTTTTAATAATAATTCTTTCTATAATCAATATAATCATCAAGAGAAATTGCAAATTATTTTTTTTAGTTTCATTTCAACCCTGTAAAGGGTTTCCAGTTAGCAATAAAGATAAATATTGTCTTTTCTCTGATCAAAGAAGTCAACTTAGCCAACTCAGTAAGTTCTATCATCTTCACCAGTCATTCCTCCACTGTGAGCAATGCTGAATCTTCTCATATACAGCAGGGGTCCCCAACCTTTTTGGTTCTGCAGACCGACGGCAGGGAGAAATGGTTTCACACGTGCAGCCTAAATCCCGTGCATGCTCAAATGAAGTTTCGCACACTTACCTCTCTTACCCCACGCTTCAGCGTCCCGGTTCCCAATGTGCCACGGCCCAGGGGCAGTACACAGTATACTATATACAGTTTCCATATACAATAATGTCACTGCAGTTATCATGTGCAAAAAAAAAATTCCATAACATTTTTCAATCAATCAATCAATCCCCAAAAACCTCTGGCCTCAATTGTATATTAATATTTAAATCCTCTGAATTGGTGTATGTATTTGAATCCAGAATTTTCTATGTTCTTTGCATGTCCCTTCTTGACCAAATTTCCAACATAAAATTGAAGTGTCTGTACATTTTGGATAATTTCTGTGGTGACATATACCAGTTGTATATCATTTTATAAGAATTATCTTGAAGATTATAACATATTGTAAATTTAAATCCTTTTAGCCACATATTTCCCATTGTTCCATCTTTATACAGGTAGTCCTTGACTTACAACCATTTGTTTAATGACCAAAGTTACAATGGCACTGAAAAAAGTGAATTATGACTTGCCTTTCACATGGCCATTGCAGCATTCCCATGGTCACATGATCTACAGTAATTCACTTAACTGTGGTGGCAAAACTCACTTAACAACCGTCTTGCTTAGCAACAGAAATTTTGGGCTCAGTTGTGTTTGTAAGTCAAGGACTTACCTGTATTATAACTAATTTTTAGCCCACTTTATCATACATTCTTTCACTTGTTTCTCTTTTGTTTCAAATGTCAGTAAGAGTTTTAGCAATTATATGTTCAGCATTTGTACAGGTTTTTTCATACTCTTAAAATGTTCAAAACCATAAATTATTTTATCAACTTTAAATCTTTCTAATAATTGTAAATAAGAGAACAATATTCTTCTGCCATCAGTTCTTGATTTTATTTTACATTCCTCTTGACAAAATTCTAGCGTCTCATGATAAGCCGGGCATCATTTGAGTTTGCTATTATTTCTTCACCTATAAAATGCTTCTTGTGCTGAGAACCCACAAAGGTGTTTTAGAGCACAATCTGGGTTTGTATCTGTCCCATATTCTCAATATAGCATGTCTAACATTATGATTTTAAAAATCCACATTAACCATGACTTTATTGTACCACAAACATCCATGATACCCAAATCTCAGGTCATGTCCTAACTTTAAAAGACTTCTGTTTGTCAGTAACACTCACTCTTTCATCCAAACCAAGCAGCAAACTGCAAAATATATTTTCTAATAAGGTGAACCCAAACATCCTCTTTCCTTTGCATCTTGAAACAAAGTGTCCCCCTCTTTTTTTTCTTTTGTCTTCCTGTACCCTACTTTTGTCTCAAGTGGCACTCTGTGGTACAGTCTGCATCACAATCGACATATTTATACTTACAGTCAGCATTGCATCTGGCTCATATTACCTTTATCTTTTGTTTTGTAAAATTCACCAATTGTCTGAACTCTGTGATAGTACATAGTAAACCAAAAACATTCCTATGAAGGTCTGGTTTGTTTGTCTAATTAAATTCCAGTTTGTTCAAAAGCGCTTTCACCCCCCCAAAAATATTTTCAAATAATTGTCCCTTTTATCCTTTTTAGACTTTCTTACATCGACTCTTTGTTAAGCTTTTTAACAAAAGCTTTTAAGTCTTTTAAAAAAATTCTTTATTCCTTAGTAATCCAGAAAAAAATAATATTTCACCAAGTGGAATTTTCTTATCCTGCCACTCAGAAAAATCTCTCTGAAGCTGTACATTAGTGACATCCCAAATAGTTAAAGAAAAAAGGTTTACAGGCTGCATTATAGCTGTGAGCTTGATTGAAATCCCTCAACTCCCAGTCATACAACTCATAAGCTAACTGCAAAAACCTCAGTTCCTGCAGTCTGTCAAGAGTGCCAGTGAGTAATCTCACAATTTCACCTTTTTCCCCAAGAGATTTTGCCAACTAATTTAGTTGCAATGCCATCCTCTCACTCCTTCAGGGATATCGCATTTGCCATGATTCCTCGCTGGAAGCCAATTTGTTCCTTCCCGTTATGAGGGCTCTTTTCTTCACATAGTACCTAGTTTTTACTGGTCCATGAAAATTGCAATTTATATAAAGCTAGTCTTCATCTTATGGCCACAATTGGGACCAGAATTTCTGTCATAAGTCATTGTGTCATAAGTTGAGTTGGATATGATTTTAGAACAATTTAA